GTTGAGGTAATAAAAAAATCTAGTCCAGCAGGATTAAATAAAGCCCAATGTTATGAGAGTGGAAAAGGTTTTCAATACTTAGATATTAAAGCAATTTTGGGAATTTATTTCAAGAAGTTACCAAGTATACAGAAATATCAACATTTTCTTTTTGAAGCAACTAATCTTGGTATGGTAAAAACTCAGGAAATTGCTAATGGACCTTTTGCTGAATTCAATTTATTGAAAACTAAGAAAGCAGAAATTTTTGAAGAGACCAAAGCTTTATCCATTTTAGTGTTAACACCACCTCCTTTGGATCACAAAAGACAAGAGATAATATTTGCCCATTTGTGAAAGATGAATACAAAGATATTACTTGTCCAATACCATTCTATACTGGCAACAAATAAAATATTTAGAACAAAAACACCTTCATTACTTTATTACACTTGTTAATTTGTCCCCTTACTGTCATTAAGTTTAATAAGTTTAATATTTTGACAAATATTGTTAGCTTTTTCCACCTTTAAAATAAAAAAGTATTAAAATAATTTATATACTTAATTTAAGAGCAAATAAAAAAAAATAAATATGGTAAACACAATAAAAGAACTCCAAGAGAGAAATAAACAACTATTAGAAGAAGTAGAAAAATTAAAAGCACCTTTACAATTTAAACAGTTGAATAATGAAGAAATTAGAGCATGAATAGCTACTATTTTAAGTGAAAGTCATTATACTGACAATCCTGATGTAGATGTGGTTGGTGAAATTATGAGAGTTTATTGTGACCAAGAAAAGTGGTCCAATTTTTGTAAATTATATCCCACTGAACCAGCTCGCAGGAATTTAGTTCTCAATACTTGTCAATATTATCCTTATTATAAGCAATCAAGTGTTCATTGACAGGTAAGGAATAAGGCTAAAAGAGATATCTTTATTAACCTTATCAAATTAAACTCGGAAGAAAGTAAAGAATTATTTAGAAAGTGATTAAATGAAGGAAAGATAGAAGAAGAAAATAATTTAACTCTAAAAAGAATATTAGAAAAAGGACACAAAGAAGATAGAATAAGTCTAATTCGTTATGATAACCTTAGTCATCTTTCTCTTGATGAGTTAGTCAATAGTTTGAATGAATTAACTTCTAAAGCAGTTAAACAAAATCAAGAATACAAAGAGAAAATTAAGGATTAGAAGCAGAACAAGAAAATTTGGAAGCAGAGGTAGAAGAATTAGAAGAGTAAAAATAGAACAGGAGCAAGTTAAGGAAATCTTAACAATTGGTGAAAAATGAAGCAAAAATCAAGCAGAAGACATAAAAGAAAAAAACAAGAAACTCAAGAGTGCTAGTAAAAAGATTTCTCATCTAGAAGCCTGAG